GGGTGTCTGGTGTCCCTGCGGGCCCGGGCTCTTGGGCTGTGCGTCCTTGGCGGCTCCAGTGACTTCTGTTATAGTTCGTCTTACTGTTCCGTAGGGTTTTCTCGTGTGAAAGGCAGAGAAAATGTTGGATATCAAGGCGTGGGCTGAGTACATTGTGGAGTGGGCTGCCAAGGACCCTTACGGGTTCCTGACGACCGTGATCTTGGCCCTGACGCCGCTGTTTGTGATCAGCGCGGCCCTGTCCTGGAAGCTGGCAAAAATGATTGAGGCCAGGGAGCGAGAGCAGAAGAAGAAGCAGAAGCGCCAGGAGAATATTGCAAAAGCCAAGCGAGCCAAGAAGGATTAAACGGGGGGGAGGGAGAAGGCCCTACATGTGCAAAGAACCCACTTCGTAAATGAAACACTAGTACATCTTGTGTTGCAGCTGTCCTTTGATACTTGATCCTGTTATTTCTTGAAATACGAAATTTAATCCCTTCAGTGTGGGGTTTTTTTTGTTTGTTTTTTTTCTACTGAGATGCTTTGTGTTAGTTTGCCCAGGTGGCACTTTGTTACAGCCATTTAATCTTGTGTTCTAGTGCAAGTTGCTTTTCTAAATTTCCATGTTAAAATTAAAAAAAAAAAATCTGTTGGGTGTCTCTGGAGATAGATTTTTTTTTTTTTTCCTTATTGAGATAGGACTTAACAAGTGTTGTAAAATTGTCATATTATTGGGAAAATGTGCGTGGTGGACTGGAAGGCAAGTTTTGGTAAACCTTCAGCAGAGCTGTATAGATGAGCTAGCTTCAGAGTTAGTTGGTGTGTACCTTACTGATTTCCTTGAAGGACACTGCATGTGGGCCTGGGGTTCTCTCAGCTGTGTGCCCAGAGGTTTTGCTGTAGAGTCTTTGATGGTGGGACATGTCTGCACAAAGAACCTACCTTAGCTACCTGTGTCCTGAACTACCAGCCATCAACAGTCTTTTAAATTCAGCCCAAATTCAACAAAAAAGTTGCTTTTTCTCATTACCTTTGTTTGTCTTAAAATACTCATGCTCTACAAAACACTACTGTGGTGTTTGGGTTTTGCTAGTGATCACCTGGGTACTTCAAACTGATTTGTTTCTGCCTTCAGAAACTTCCTCTGCCTCAGAGTAGCCATAAATGGGGTGAGACCAGAGGCCCTGCTGGCCTAGTGTGCTGTGTCCTAGTGACCTACAGCAGGTGGCTTTAGGAGGAGGATGGTATGCTGGTGACGCTTGCCATGCTTGCTAACCTGGGTACCTTTGACTTGGGACCTTCTGATCTTTGTTCTGATTTTGGGGATCTTTGATCTGATTTTGGGGATCTTTGTTATCATGGCCCTAGAAACTTTGTGGCCTTCCAGGTTGCAAAATGCTGGCATACTGGAAAAAGTCCAAGTGGGGTCTGTGTTGTAAATATGCCAAAATTATTTAACCTTAATTCCAATTCATGTTTTTCTAACAGAAGTAATTAAATTTTCAAAGCCTAATTTCTATTATTAGTAGTTCTAAAGAACTTGTGGCAGTGTTTAGGTTTTTACACTTAGCTTGTTTCTAAACAGCAGCATGAGTGTTGTGCTTTCTAGCAACTAGTCCATTATGTTTAAAAATAAAACACTTAAGACCATTGTTCAGATGAGGAGATTACACAAAGTGGGATTAGAAGTGAGGAGTCTTGCTCAAAGTAAATGTAAACTATTGCTGATCCTCTTTCTGTTCTGTTGGTCAAAGCAAGCAATATTGGAATATGGCATTTTGGTATTTTAGAAATACATGGGTTTAAGTCTCCACTGTTTTGTCTCAAGTGTTTTAAATGTGTACATGTTCCACCTTTGATACCTAACTAGCTTAAAACACATGGAGGAGAGCTATGAAAGATACATTGCATAAATAAATTTGATACTTTTTTTTTTTCAAAAAATTGTGTGGTCTTTATTTTGACTTGAAGTTCTCTAAGCAAATAATCTGCTCACTTTATGTATCTAAGCTATGGCCAAATAAATCTAATTATCTAAGGAAGTTCCTGCATACGTAAGAAACAAAAAACAATTTATTTTTTCTTAATATTAATCCTGTGTCCCAAACTGTGTTATTTTCCAGCAGCTTCACCAGTGCTTCTGACTGCTGCTGTAGTAGTTACATGCAGTTTAACTTGGTCCGATTTTATCCTGTGCTTATTGCTGGCTGCAAATTAAACATTCCAATATGTTGTTTTCTTAAATTTAAACTGCAAGAATGTCTCTGATACAGTGTATAGTCTGTGTAGTGTCATAGTGATTCACAGAATCGTAGAATGGTTTGGGTTGGAAAGGACCTTAAAGATCAGCTAGTTCCAACTCCCCTGCAAGGGGCAGGGACACCTCCCACTAAATCACACTGCACCAGGACTCATCCAGCCTGGTCTGGAACACTTCCAGGGAGGGGGCCACAACTTCCCTGGGCAACCTGTTTCACTTTCTCACCACCCTCCCAGTAAAGAATTTGTCTAACCTAAGTCTGTACCTTCTTTCAGCTTAAAACCACTGTCCCTTGTCCTCACTACAAGCCCTTGTAAAACGTTTCTCCCCAGTTTTCTTGTAGCTACTTCAAGTACTAGGAAGTGCTGTAAGTGCTAGATATTCTCCAGGCTGAAGAAGCCCAAGTTTCTCAGCCTCTCCTCACAGCAGTGGTTCTCCAGCCCTATGGCCATCTTTGTGGTGTGTCAGCATACTGGTTGAGGGTGCACCCACTACTCTCCGTGTAGCTGGTGTTGAACAGCGCTGGTCCCAGTACCAGCCCCTGAGGAACACCCCTCATTGTTGATGGCTGAGGTGAAAAATTCACTGTGCCTCAGGCTTTTCCATATCCTGGGTAATGAGGCCTCCTGTTTCTTCTAGAGAGGGTCCATGATTTCTAGTCTTCCTTTAATCACTGACATACCTATAGAAGCTTTTCTTGTAGCCTCTGATGTCCCTGGCCAGATTTAATTCTACCAGGGATTTAGCTCTCCTAACCTGATCCCTGGCTGATCGGATAATTTCTCTGTATTCCTTCCAAGCTACCTGTTCTTGCTTCTGCCCTCTGTAGGCTTCCTTTTCGTGCTTGAGTTTATCCTTGTTTATCCGTGCAGGCTTCCTGGCACTCTTGTCTGACTTCCTTTTTTTTGGGATGCATTGCTCCTGAGCTTGGAGGAGGTGATCCTTGAATACTGACCAGCTTTCTTGGGTGCCTTTTCCTTCCAGGGCTTTATTCTCTGGTACTCTTCCAAGGTCACTGAAGAGGCCAAAATCTGCTCTCCTGAAGTCCAGCTCGCTGTGTGCTCTCCTTGCTGCCCTAAGGATCTTAAACTACACCATGATCACTGCAGCCAAGGCTGCCCTTATTAAGCTTCACATTTCCCACCAGGCCCTCCTTGTAAGTAAGAACAAGGTCCAGTGTAGCGCCTCTCCTTTCTGGGTCCTCTGTCATTTGGAGAAGGAAGTTATCATCAGTGCATTCCAGGAACTTCCTGGATTGTTTATGCCCTGCTGTGTTGGCCCTTCAACAAGTATCGAGGTGGTTGAAGTCCACCATAAATACCAGGCTTGTGTGTCTGTAAAGGGCCTCATCCACTTCCCGATCAGGCGGCGTGTAGCAGACCTCCACTATAATGCTCCCTGCCATTGTCTTCCCTTTAACCCTGACCTATAAACTCTGTCAGCTCTTCGTCCATCCCCACGTAGAGCTCCACGGATTCCAGCTGGTCACCAATGTAGAGTGTGACGTCCCCTCCTCTTCTCCCCTGCCTGTCCTTCCTAAGGAACCTATACCCATCCATTCCTACACTCCAGTCATATAAGTCATCCCACCATGTCTCAGTGATGCCAATAACATGATATCCCTGCAGGGTCACTCATGTCTCTAAACTCCTCTTTCTTATTGCCCATGCTGAGTGTGTTTGCATAGAGGCATTTAAGCTGGGCCCCAACAAAACTGACTTACTGCCTAGAGCAGCTGGAATTCCTTTGAGATATTTCTCTAGTGCTTCCCTGTTGGCTCCTGTTAGCTCAGGAGCACCCAGCTCATCTCTGTAAGAATTCAAGTGTGCTGCAGTGTGTCCAGCACATTTCTGAGCAACAGACTGAGAGGTCCCTCCAACCTTGGTGTGTCATCCCACAGCTTGTCACGGGGAAGCCTGTTATCATCCCTCTTCATCTTCAAATCTAGTTTAAAGCTCTGTCAAGGAGCTCCATAAGCTCCTGAGCAAAGATCCTCTTCTCAGTCTGACAAAGGTGAGTCCTATCTGACACCAGCAAACCCGGTGCCATGTAGGCCATTCCATGATTAAAAAACATAAAATTGTGGCTGTGACACCAGCCACAGAGCCATGTGTTAACAGACTGTCCATCTGTTTCTTCCAGTGTTGCTGCCTGCGACTGGGACAAAAAAGGGAAAAAAATAACCTGTGCCCCAGCTTCCCTCACCAACCATCCCCAGGCCCTCAAGTCTCTTTTGATCACTGTGGCTATGTGCTGTGGCTTCACTGCCATCCACATGGAAGATCAGTAATGGATAATAGTCTGAGGGCTGCACCAGGCTAGGAAGTTTCCTAACGATGTCCTTAACCTGGACAGATTTCCCAAAGAGGCAGATTTCCCAAAGAGGAACATATGTCTGGGATATGGGACTCCCTGTTCCCTTCAGAAGGGAATCACCTACAAATATAATCTGTCTTTTCTTCCTGGTGGAGGTGGTCATGATACAGGGCTTAGGCCTTCTGACCTTGGTGACACCTCTGGTATAGATGAACCACCACCCACATCATCCACTGGCTGGCCTTCCACATCCAGAGCCTGTTGTACAGAGGCAACTGGGAAGTCAAGGGGGGACAAGGGTCCACCTCTCAGGGTGGTAGGGTCACTACACCCTTCCTGCATGCCCTCCTCACAAACTGCCACCCCAAAGATCCCCCATGCTCTGGCTGACTGCACATGCTCTGTTTACTGGCTCTGTCACACTCCTCATGTGGCTTTTTATAAGTGTGGGGGTGGGTCATGGTTGCTCTGACAAGAGCCAGGCCTCATCAGCAGCTCCCACGAGAGATGCCCAAAAGCCCCAGTGTGCCAAGATCTGCTGCTCTGCTAAGGGTCAGGCTGGCTCTGGGGCTGCTTCCCGTGGTGACAGAATGAAATACACTTTTCTTTTTCTTTGCCAGAGGAAATCACATTGGTACTGCCAAAGGAACTAACAAGCATTCTGAAGAACTATCTTAAACTGATGCATAGGTCTGGGAAAATTTAAGTGTACTGATTAACTGAAATTTATGACATCAAAACCAATTTTAAGAATAAATGAATCCATGAGGAAAAAACAATCATCTAAGAATAGTTAGTTAGCTAGAAAAATTTTACTTATAATTTCATGACTAACTGATGAACAGCAACCACCAAAACCAGACTTACTTAGTAACACATCCTGCTTGTCACTAAACCCAAACATTTCAGTTGTTTGTCATGATTTAGCTTATTTGCACAGTTCTGCAAAAATCAATTAAACTGCTTTAATATTACTTTATTACACACTCATATACAACAGCTGTTTAAATTGTCTGTTAAAATATTTATCTATTACCAGTATCTGTACATTACAATTATTTATTTATTTTTACTACTACTGCTGTCTGGTGGCATCCAGGAACCTGGCTGAAAGGTGCTTGCAGTGCTTGTTGGATCCTGCGAAGGTTCTTTCTTTCCATAGTAAGGGGCTGATGCATGGCCTTCAACACGAGTATGAACTGGTTCAGCAACAAGTCCCTCCTTGTATTCCTTGGCCTGAAGCAGCTTATCCTTTTCAGATACATCTTTGATTTTCTGTTTCATTTCTTGTCTGTAATTTTCATTCTTAAGAATCTCCTAAGAACACAGAAGAAAGATAATTAGATAAATCAGAAGTAAACACAATACACAGCTTTGGAATAAAATATTCTAAGCAGTCATTGCTTCTCTTAATTTTATAATCCAAATTTTCAGGTGTGTAGGTGAAATAAAATGCGGCAAAAATGATTGTTTTTCTATAGCTGCAATTGCAGTCCTAGGATAAAATGTTCTTAATATTTTGATCAGTGGCTGAGCAAAACTGCACTCCAGTGTCCCATTTTCACTATTCAATTGGATCAAAAAAGATACTAAATAACAGTCATCAACAAATGTGAAAATACATTAAAAATGAGGCTACCTTTTACACTGTTTTCTATGTAGGACTTGCTACTACTAAGTAACTATCGCTTGCATTTCTTCCTGCAACTCACTATGCCTATGACAGCATGGGCAGACAGACTGATAAAAATCACTGAGGGAAACCCTGCCCCAGAGACTTGGAAGACAGCCAGCATGGTCCAAGAAGCAAGGGAGGCCAACACATCCTCAGCTGATGACTGCCTGGCCAGCAAAAGTGAACTGGGTGTTGTGATGAGGACACAAAGCACAACACTGCTTAGGTGAGCTGCGTGTTAACTCTAGGTATCTACCAGCTGTTATCTAAAATAAATGTACTGCGTTCATAACGAGTGTAAAATCATACACCTACTGCCTCTATACTGTTAAAAAAAATCAAATAAAAAATTATCTAGTTTTAGAGATTTAGCTCCACAGCTGATAAAATTAAGTAACCGATGCATGACCCTCCTGGAAGGCCAGACTCCACCCTGCTTGCCACCCTCCCTCCTCCCCCAGGACATGTATTCAGAGAAGGGTCATACAACTTGCTGATTCAACTGATGAGGCTCTGTACTGAAACATGGTTGGGTACAGGTGGTTGGGTGAAGCTGGAAATTCACTAATAAGGACAACTTGAACTGAGATTTGGCTGCTTCCGCTGAGAAATACTGAGACTAACAGCTGAAGCAAATCAGTTACTGGCTTGTTCACAGGTATAAGAGAAAAACAGCTGTCAATAGAATTTGCCATATTGTTCTGAGGAAAACACAAAGAACTCCCAAAATAAACACAAAAAGCCATGAAGAATAATGAAGATTGGTTTTTATCTATTAGCATATGTTTCCCATTAGAAGGATGATTTGCAAATTCTGCTGACAACATTCCTCTGTGCTTTTGTTAGGGCTGATACTGAAGAGTATTGGAAACAAAAGCAGAAAGGTAATACGAATATTTATTAACACTTTGAACCCAAATACAACTTAACTTTAATCAATACCATGTAACAAGGGAGCTACTAATACCCACATTTAGACTGGGATACAGAAGAAAAAGGGCCAGACAGGGTTCTCTGGATTATACATCTGTGAAAGAGCTAAAGAGAAACTAGACCAGTACACTTCAAGTAGAAGATCATGATGTTGTTTTTTGAATAGCATTAGAATACATGTGATGTTGCCAAGAGTTGACACAGCAAGTATGTAAATATTTAAGAACATTTTAAAAGGCAGTATTTAAAGGAAACCTTATCTTACCATGAAAACTAACACCTTTTTTTGAGTCCTTAATTGCCTCTATCGTTACATTCAGATGCATAAAGCAGAGGCAAAACACATTACATACCTAAACAGCATGAAAATACACAAGCAGCACATAAATGACCTTGCAAACTGAAAGGGAGAGTGAAAGAGGAAATTCTCTAGAACTCAAATAAAAATATTACCAAGCATAACAAGGTCAAATTTTCAACAGTCAGTATAGCAAAACTTCGTAACATCTCTCAATTCCATCCTTGTTTACCACATAGCTGTATAAATCTACCATGACCTTATTGATTTAAAGGGGATTACTCCTACAGTGCTTGTATTACCCCACTACCAAGAAATAATGGCATAAACAGTTGTGATATCTGAAGTCTGCATCACAGCCTCTGCTGAAACAGCATGAAATTATTTATTAAAATACAAATGTAATTAATTTACTGTGAAAAGCTATTTACTAACAACAAATCTTTTCCAGTTGTTACTTTAACAAAGTTATCTAAGCCAAGTAAGAGCAGCTATAACTAAATTCCAAATGCTCCAAGTCCATTTTAAATGTTGATGTATAATTGTTATCTGGTTTTCAGATGCAGGTAAGGCTCTTGTAATCAGCTTTCACAGGCTGAAGTATAGTTGTGATGTAGTAAATTAACAACGTTGATCTTGAAAAAAGCATGACAAATGATCCTCCTTAGCAAACACAGAAAAAAAATACTGTGTCCTGCTTTGAGCCAAAATAGAGTAAATTTTATTGTAGTAATTTCACTTTTCAGTTGAGTTCCTTCTAAGTAGCTGCAGCTGCTGAAATTAACAGCATTTTTCTCAGTTGGTGTCTGCTTATAGGTCTGATAATGTTTGATGTTCTCAGTTACTGCAGGGGGATGGTGTGCTGAACCAAGGCCACTGCTGGGTTCTGAAGAACACCTTATGGTCCAGAAATTGAAGGTAATAAAGGGGTCACACTGGTCCCCCCTCCTGCAGAGGGAGCAGACTGGACAGGTGACCCAACCTGATGGAACACAGTATCCTACTCCATACACATCATACTCGGTATATATTTGAGGGATCATGAGGATCAAGTTCTCTTTGTCCATGGCAGGTGTCCAGGCAGGATTCTGTCTGTTGGTCTGCCTTTGATCCTGATCCATGTGTTCCTGAATCCCTGTGCTCCCTGTGCACACTTCTGCTGCTGCCTCCAGAAGCCCAGTCTGGGAATTTCTCAGGGCTGCCCTACAGCCTCAGTGGTGAGTGATCACTGGGGGGGAGCGCAACAGTGGTTTTTTGCATATATTTGTGTATACTTATTTTCTTTTTCAGCATTACTTTTTCAGTGAAACTGTAGTTTAGTTTCCAAATTGTAAGTCTCTCTCCCTTATTCTCTTTATTTCCCCTTTCAGGGAAGGAAAAGGGGTTAATAAAGGGCATCTGTTATTTGTTTAATTGCTGGCTCAGCATTAAACCATGACATACTGAAGTGACTTATTCAGAATCTTCTATACACCAGGGCAGCAGTTCTTCAAGTTTCAAGTATCTGCAAGTGCCCACTATATGCATTAAATCAATGCCACTAATATGTACACTGAAATAAAATCAAAGAAAATGTGAATCAGGAATCTTGTGTCTGTTGCCATGTTAGAAAAACTGGGCCAAATAGATGAGTTTTCTTAGCATAAACATCTCGTCCTTTCATACTGGCCAGTTCATTCTGTGGAATCCTGTTACAGACACTGAATCCTTCCTGTTTCTAATATTATCACCAGCAAATACTTCATTACCAATGGCTCTCTAGAACATGTTTTGTTTTGTTTTGACGTTGTGACTGTGTTTCTATATTCTGTTAGTTCAATTACCAAACCCACTGCACTTTGAAGCAGTTATGAGTCTCAAGTTTCCCTGCCATTACAGGCATTTAAGTAAAAGATCCAAGTAATTCCAAATCTGAATAGGAAAACCAACTTGGTTCAAAATGCAAATTTTAACAAAACTATTGCATACATATTTATAGAAGGATTTACCCTTAAAACACAGTAGAAATGTGCAGGATCTTTATAACTAATTTTCCAAATTTAGCATCAGTTTATCTCCATGGCTCACTGCAACTAAACACAGTGAGAGAAAGGTTCCTCCCCAGACACCCTCCTGGTTCTACAGGGCTTCCCATCCCCTGCTGAGCAGTGATGCCAACATCTGCTGGGCTCTTGTACCCATGACAAGTAGTCTGTAAATCTGCAGGGCACCAAGGGCTCTTCTGACTCACCTGCACACAGCTACATTTTCACTTTGAGGCTCTGTTGCTACTCAGCCCCTTACTGTTTGATATACTGTAAACAGTGGCTGGGAGCTAACAGTATTTATTTATTTATTTAATTAATTACATTGGCAGGTTCAGACCACTTATCTTTTCTCCTCCTACAAGTTGAATGGAAATAGTTTATAAAATGGCTAGCTTCACTATAAACTGCTCCCCAAAATATACCTTTCAAGTTTTCTGTTGAAATACAAGAACATGAATATGTAATAATGCTCTTTTGCAGGAAATACAATATCATTCTATCAACACAGAGAACACAGTATCTACCAGGTAGCTGCACTTTTTCTAAGGGTTAGCTTGCTCTTCCAACACTATACAAATAAATGTTGTATCTATACAAACAAATGTTCTAAGCCCCCCGAACCTGCAGTTCTCAGGAGGCATATGGCATCTAAAGAGCATCAGAAATGCCTTTCCTTGTTTTTATTAAAAGAGAAATTTAAGGATTTGGATTATGCTGTAAAACTAAAAAAATGAAAAATGCCTGAAGACATCCATCCATGCTTTATACCAGTTGAAATCCCTACATGTCGATGTTCACCTTGAAATGCATCCGTTTCCAGCATTTGAAACAAGATAGGTACGATGTGGCAAAAACTAGGTCCAACTACATGTTCTACAGTTTGTGTTTAGATGGAATGTAAAAGAAATTTTACTCACTGCTCACAACTCATTGGCCAGCTTTGGTGATTACAGCCTATGAGGTTTTTAATCCTTCTAATGATGGGAGCTGCATGCCTTCCCTCCTCAGAAAGGCAGGGTTTAAGAGAGCAATCTCTAAGGTTTTCTTGAAGAACAAGAAGGAAGTGCCAAAGTGGCTCTACATGGAGCTTAAGGCAGCTGCTTTTCATCCAGAGACTGATGACTTCAACATATTCTGACATCTTAGTATTGGTAACAGCTGCATGAAAAAACAATGAAAGACAGCTTGCTCATGAGCATAAGTCAGCCCAAAACACATTGCTGTCTTCCAAGTGTGTTACTGCAGAAGGGATCAGGCTGTATTTCATGCCACTGGCAAGACATTTCCACTTTTCTTGCAAACTACATTTTTGGTTTAATCTCTCACTTAACCCTAGCTGGCATGTTTCACCAAGAATCCTGTGCTACTTAGAAACTGTATTCAT